GATCTCCTACAATTTTATTGAGAAGTTGAAAGGGATCCATGTAATGAAGAAATTGAAGATTCTCTACATGTCTAATAACCTAGTGAAAGACTGGGGTAAGCTGAAGCTGGCTCTTTGCTAATCTTCTACCTCCTGTTTATAGAAAATAGCCCAACAGAGAACAAGATGCAAAATGAGGACATTTCTTTCTAAGCACACAGGGAAATAGCTATAGGAGTTCCTGTCTTTCAGCTGAATGCTTGAAATTTACATTTAAATATTTACTTAAAATGATTATATTGAATAGATCCTGGTCCTCTTCATCATGGAAAAAAATTATAGTCCAAAGGCTGAATGGAATCAGTTTAAATTTAATAATTCTTGGATGGAATATGTATTTGCCATCTATATGACTTCGTTTTTTATAGTACGTTATTCATTCAGCATTTACCAAAGCCCTATTAAGTGTTATGAGCTATGCCAGACTCTTGAGATACATAGTTGAATAGGACACTGTCCATGCCTTCAAGGAATTCACAACTTAGTGGGAAAGAGTAGTTTATAAATGAGTTCTTCAGTAGGTGTGTGAATGCGTTGCTTTGAGAATTCAAAGATGAGGGATGCATGGGTGGCTTGGTCAGTTAAGTGTTGGATTCTTGGTTTCAGCTCAGGTCATGAACTTGGGGTTGTGAGATCAAGCCCTGCAGGCTCTGTGCTCAGTGGGGAGTCTGTATAAGACTGTCTCCCTCTCCCTCTGCCCCTCTACCCTGATCTCTCTCTCACTCACTCTCTAAAATAAATAAATAAATCTTTAAAAAAAAAAAAAAAGAATTCAAAGATGAGGGGCGCCTGGGTGGCTCAGCTGGTTAAGCTTCCAACTCTTGATTTCAGCTCAGGTCATGATCTCGGGGTCATGGGATTGAGCCCCACATCAGGCTCCGTGCTCAATGTAGAGTCTGCTTGAGATTCTGTGTCTCCTTCTCCCTCTGCCCCCTACCCCATGCTAACTCTCTCTCTCAAATAAATAAATCTTTTTTTAAATAAAGAATTTGGAGATAAGGGAATGGGTGGAGACAAAAGCAGTTTGATTTAACCCATACTGATGCAATACAGCATAGAGAAGACCTGTCACTGGAGAGTGATATGTTGTTCTTTGTGATTCTGAACCTCATCTCCTTTTCTTATCCCGTCCTTAGGCTAGCATAAAGGTAGAAGAGGTATGTCTTCTTTTTCCTTCCCTTTCCATAATGTCTTCAGAGAATGACTTCATGTGGTATAATTTCCCTTACTTTCTTCAAAATCTTAAACAACAAATTGTTCTAAATAGTCACAAACTGAGGGCTAGTGATACTGGAGTTCAACCCCCAACATCATAACAGGAGAACTTTCCATTTTAATATAGAATGTATTCTTTGTACTTGCAGCTGAATTTGTGAAGTTGGCAGAATTGCCGTGCCTGGAAGACCTGGTGTTTGTAGGCAATCCCTTGGAAGAGAAACATTCTGCTGACGGGAACTG